AGCAATGAGAAGTCATCCCCCCGCCCGCAGGAGGATGACCACACCGCAGTCCCTTCTCGCCTCCTCTTGGGATTTGGGGCATACACACACATGTGCCCTGTGTCTGGGAATCAAGCTGCTGGGTCTGGGACTTCAGACCATGGTTGACTCTGGGAGTCCAGTGCCTTAACCACCATGCCACCTGCTGACCCACACTATATTGTTATAATTCTTTTATTCTTATTAGTTATTGATATTAATCTCTTAATGTGCCTAATTTATAAATTACACTTTCTTATATATATGAATAGGAAAAATGAGTATGTGTAAGGCTCAGTACTATCCACAGTTTTGGGCAGCACCTGGATGTCTAAAACGTGTACCCTGCATTAGTTTCAAGCCACCATGGTTACAGAACTCAAACTGCGGTCAACCATGTGGGAGTCCAGCACCTTAACCAGTACCCACAAGTAATAGGATACTGCTGTTGAGCTGCTCCAGCCTTATTTTAGTTACTGAGCATGACGTAGCTATAGGTGTGGATGAGATGTGTATCGTTTGGTGTTCCCTCAGCTGCCTGAATTTGTGCCTTGGTGTCTGCCATTGGATGTGGAAAATCTGCAGTCATCATTGCTCAAAATACTTCTTTTGTTCTCATTTGACATTTTGGTTTTCCTGTTACATGTGTTACATCTTTTATAATTGTACTATAGTTTCTGACTACTCTCTTATTTTTCTTCTTCTTTTTGTTTGTTTGTTTTTCTTTTTTTCCTTTGTTTGCATTTTCCTTTTGGAAATTTCCATTTTTTTTTTCTCTTATTTTTTTCTTTTTGACCAGACGGTAAGTGGTGTACTTGTCAAAATGAGAGAGAAAAACAGTGAGAATGAGAGTGAGAGACCACATCTCCACGGGGCATGTTCATACCACAGTCCATTCTCTTCTTTCTCCCTTCTGTCAAGATTTTGGGCAAGTATGCCCACGTACCTCACAAGTTTCTCAAGCTCCTGGGTCTGGTATCCATCTACCTTAATCACCACACCACAGGCTGGCCTGAAAGTTTTCATTGGCATTTCGTCAAGCTCACTGGCTGTGTCCACATTATTGATGAGTTCATCAAAAGCATTCTTTTTTTTAAAAAAAGGTTTATCTATTTATTTATGATTGTTATTGATCACATGAATTTGGCCAGAGAAAGACAGAGTGAGAGAGGGAGAGTTAGAAAGCAAGCCATCCTGTCCAGGACTCGAACTGCCATCAGCCATGTGGGAATTCCAGCACCTTAACCACCATGCCACTTGCTGGTCCCGCAAAGCATTCTTTTTTAAAGAGATTTTTGTTAGAGGGAGTGTGCACTCGCTAGACAGACAGACAGAAAGTGAGAAGTTACCCCCCAAAGGGGATGGCCATGCAATTCTTCTCCTCTATTCTCTTGGATTTGGGGTATACACACACATGCACCCTGCATTAGTTTCAAGCCACCATGGTTACAGGACTCAAACTGCGGTCAGCCATGTGGGAGTCCAGCACCTTAACCAGTATGCCACCTGCTGGTCCCCGTCAAAAACATTCTTAATTTTTATTACAGCATTTTAGAATTCAGTCTTTTTTATTATTATTCTTTCTCAGAGTTACTGTCACTCTTCTAGTATTACCTAGTTATTCTTACATGTAGTATACTTTTTTCATTAAAACCCTCATTATCTTGATCATAGATTATTTAAATTCCTGGTCTCGTAATTACATACCTGAATCTAGTTGTGATGCTTTTGTTTTAAGCTGTGTTGTCTTTTAGTATGTAATGTAATTTTTTTTGCTGAACATTTTGTATGTGATGTATTGGCTAAAAGAAATAGAGACAAATAGGTCTTCAAGTAGAAATTGTGTGTGTGTCCATCTTATTTATATAACCAAACTAACTATTGAGTTGTTGAGAAAGTGACACATTTTTGCATAGAAACACATAGAAAACTATATCATGACTTTTCCAACCACCCAATAGATCTTATACCTTTTTGAAAAAAATATTTTAGGAGATAATGCTACGTAGGTGATTGTGGTGCCTATTTCCGATCTCTATGATCTTTCAATTATTTCATCTTGCATTATTGTACTGACTAGCATCTCCAGAATAATGCTATGAATTAGGTTGTTGGGACATCATGATATATTTTTCTGTTTTTCTATGCAAAAATGTGTCATGGCTTTCCTGATGACCTAATAGAAATGGTGAGAACAAACATTGCATTTTTCCAGTCTTAGAGTGTTTTTATTTCCCTCATTGATTATAATCTTAGTTGTAGTTTTAGGATGCATGCCATCCTTCATGACAAAATTTTCTACTATTCCTAGTTTTCTGAATATTTTTATTATGAATGGATACTGAAGATTCTGCTGAATCTTTTCTGTATTTGAGATAACCATGGTGTTTCTTTTTTACTTTGTTAATGTGATGAATCATATTGATTTTTGTACATTACATCAGTCTTGCATACCTAGAATAAATCTAGAACAGTCACAAAATGCTATAATTTTTTATATAGTGCCAGATTTCTTAATATTTTATTATGGATATATCTATATTCATGAGAGATGTTTGCCCCTGCTTTTCATGTATTATCTGCTTTTGGAATTTTGATAATTTTGGACACTGGAAATGGGTTGTGTCCCTTTTCTTCTCTATTTTGTAAGTATTTGTATAGCATTGGCATGTATCTTTTTTAATGTGTGACAAAATTCTTCTGTGAAATCCTCTAGGTCAAGGCTAAAGAAACTTAGTTTCTATAAGGTATATAGGGTAATTCTAGTTACCTGTTTGTTTTGAATGAGGCTTGATAGTTTGTATATATTTGAAGAAATTTTTAAAATTTCATCTAATTATTGATTTTTTTGCTACAGGGTTCATACACTTGCCAGAGAAGAAGAGAGATTCAGAGAGACACAAAGTGAGAACTCACTGGGGGGCAGGTTGGCCGCAATCCCTTCTCCATTCTCCTTTTGGATCTTGGGCACACAAGCACATGTGCCCAGCGTGAGTTTTAAATTGCCTGGTTCAGGACTTAAACCACAGTTGGCTATGTGAGAGTCCATTTGCTGGTCCCCAATTGTTGAATTTATCAGAATTAATTTGATTGAGGTGATTATAACCAGCTGAAGTGGTTATGACTCTAGAATTCCACATAGTCGACTGTGATTTGAGTCCCAGACATGATGGCTTAAAATTGTGCCAGGAGTGTGTGTATGCATGCCCAAGATCTCAAGGGGAGAATGGCGGAGAAGGGTTTGTGGTGTGACCATCCTCCCAAGGATGATTTTTCTCTTTCTGTCTCTCTTTGGCAAGCATAGGCACCTTGCAGCAAAAATCTCTCTCTCAAAAAAAGAATTAAGTGGATTGATTTTTATCATTTATGAAGAACCAGCTTTTTATTTTCATTAATTTTGTTTTATATTTTCTTTCTTTTTATTCCTTTCTGCTTTTTTTTTGTTTATCGCTTTCCTTTTGTAATGTTAGTAAATTGGGAACTTGATTTTACTACTTCTTTTATAATATGAGCATGAAATACTATGTTTACCTTTAAATCCTATTCAACTGTAACCTATAAATTTTGATACACTGTGTTTGATTAAATTTCATTTCAAAATGCATTCTAATTTCCCTTTTAATTGCTTCTTTTGCCCTGTGCATTATTGAAGTATGTTGTTTGAGTCATAATATTTGGGAACTTTTTTAAGCTATCTTTCTGATTTTGATCTCTAGCTATCTTTGTTGTTAGGGAACATACTTTGTATAATTCAGATCTTTTAAACTTACTAAGATGTCTTTAACTGACTCAAAATATGGTTTATGTTGATGAATCATGTACACTTATGAAGAGAATCCATAGCCTGTTCTTGTATAGGTTGTTCTATAAATGTTGACTAAGTCCAGTGGGTTAATGTTGTTAAGTCTTCTACATCCTTGCTGATGGCTTTTCTTCTTGAATTGATTGATTACTAGGAGAGAAAGTGGATCTTTGTAATTGTGGTTTTGACTATTTCTCCTTTTAGTTCTATCAGTTTTGATTTTTTTTTAAAGTTATGTTTTTAAGTGCATGCAAATTTAGGATTTTTTTTTATAAATTTGCCTTTGTATCATTTAGGTTAACCAATTTATTGGTGTAAACACTGTAATATAAATAAAGAGAATTTAAAACAATAGAATACTACTAGCATAACCAGAAGTTAGTTATTTGAAGAAATCAACAAAATTGATAAAATTTTAGCTAAATTTGCAAAGGAGGAAGAAGAAAAGTGACAGAAAAGGCAGAAAGAGAAAAGTGACAAAGGAGGAAAAAGAAAAGAGGGCTGTTACCACTAAATACAAAGGACTGTAAGGCAATGCCATCAACAGCGCCTTGCCATCAAGTTACCATCAAACAGGCAAAAAACCACCAAAGTTAACAAAATGACTCAGACAAAAATCTGAATAGACCTGCAATTCATGGGGATTAAATCAGTAATCAAAAATCTCCCAACAAAAAAAAGCCCAAGATTAGATGACCTAACAAAAGTAGTCTATACAAGGTTTAAAGAATTAATGCCATTCCTCATAAAAATTTTTCAAGAAAAATGAAGATAACTGAACATGACTTAATTTATTCTATGTGTCTAATGTTACAGTGTGACCATCCCCCCAGGGGTGATCCCAAGCCAGAGACCTGTAAGAAAAGAAAACCATAACCAGTATTCCTAATCAATGTAGACTTAAAATTCCTTAACAATATACTAGTAAACCAACTAGTAGTATATTAAAAGTGAGCTGTCTTTCAGGAATGTAAGTCTATGTCAATATATAAAACTTGATCAATGTAATATATTAATAGAATGAAAGAAAAAATCTTTCGTGATCATCTCAACTGGTTCAGAAAAAAGTGTTTGCCAAAATTCAACACCCTTTAATGACAAAAGCATTTTTAAAAAACTAAGAATAAGAGGAAAGTTTCTCAACATGATAAAAACTATACATGAAAAACCCAGCACTAACCTTATTCAGTGGTGAAAGACTAAAAGCTTTTCTCCTAAGAAAGGAAAGACAAGGATACTTTCAACACTTCTGTTTAACACTGTACTAGAAATTGTAACTGGAGCATTTAGATGAGAATAAGAAATAAACAATCAAATTACAAAGGAAGAATTAAAACGTTTTACTCACAGATGCCATGGTCTATATGTAGAAAATCCTAAAGAAAACACACACAAATTAACTCTTTTAGAGCTAATAAACAGATTCAGCAAGGTTCCACGATAAAAAAATGAACATAACAAATACAACATAAGGACCAGCAGATGGCGTAATAATTAGTCTCTGGTCTCCCGCGTAGTTGACTGTGATTTAAGTTCCAGACCCAGTGGCTTAAAACTTATGCCAGGTGCATTGGCGTATGTGCCCAAAATCCTAAAAGGAGAATGGAGGAGAAAGGATTGTGGCATGACCTTCCTCTCTGGGGGGAGATTTCTCACTTACTGTCTGTCTAGCGAGCATACATGCCCTATAGCAAAAACAACAACAACAACAACAAAAATCTAAAAAAAAAGTATTTTTGTAGACTACCTATATATAATCAAAAAAGGAATTTAAAAAATCCATTTAAAATAGCATCAGAGCCAAAGGTGGATTGGAGGTTAAGGCGGCTATATCCCACATAGTCAATTGTGCAGTTTGAGTTCCAAACCTGGTGGCTTAAAAGTCATGCTGGGTACATGTATATATGTGCCCAAAATCCTGAGGGGATTGCTGCATGGCCATCCCCCTGGGGGTGATTTCTCTTTCTCTCGCTCTCTTTCTCTGTCTCTCTTTGGTGAGCACATGCACCCTAGAAAAGGAGGGTTGTCAAAAAGAGTTAAAATATTTAGGGATAAATATATTGAAGGAGACACAAATCTTGCACACTGCAGACTACAAGACATTGCTAGAAGAAATTAAAGGTGACGTAAATGGGAGACAGATCATGTTTATAGATTGGAGACTTAATCTTGTTAAGATAGCAGTGGTACTCAAAGCAGAAATACACATTCACTGTGATTTTTTTTTATTCTTGCAGTGGAATACTGTACAATAATAAAAAATTTATAAGTACGAATACTAATTTCAAAAATATAAACACAAAAGACAAGTTGCTAAGGGTATTTAGAAAATGATGCATTATTACAAAAACTGAAAATTAAAGAAAGCATTTTTATGACATATGTATGGAAGAAGGTGCAAAAACTTGCATGCAGTTAATACAGTATAATTTCAGGATGATGTTTGCTTGAATCATAGGTGTGATTGTCATTCTTGTAGGTTAAAATGTAAAATATTAGTGAAATGAAAGTAATACATGCTTAGCTGTATCTTACCTCAACTGTTTCAAAGTATATATGGCACAATGTTAACAGATGTTTGGTCCGGTCTTTTTACACTAGTTCCTGTTCTTTCCTTAATGTTTATAATAGTTCATTTTTAAGATTTTTTAAGCCATGTGGAAGGTAAAAAGAAATGGAAATGCTAAAATTTATGCTACTCGAGAAAATTGAAGAGTAAAGGTGCAATAGCAGCACAGAGCAGCCTTTAGAATGGATTACACAGTGTTCTCTGTATGACTTTATGCAGTTTCAATTGCCCATGTCTAGTACAAAAATACTAAATGGAAGATTTTAGGAATAAACAGTTTATAAGTTTGAATGCATGCCTTTCTGAGAAGAGTGATGAAATCACACCTGGAACATGCATCTTCGTTTTGGTCAGTGTATCCACACCGTATATGCTATCAACCCGTTTGTCACTTACTAGCTGTATCTTAGTAGCAGGTGTGTGCTAACCTGCAGTTTCAAGCATCCACTGGGGAACATAGGCCCTATCGAAAAGGGCGGGACTACTGTATTTGTTTGTTTTCTCATATACCGAGGAAAAAGGATTGGTAAAGAATATGAAAGTAGAGACACATACAAAAAAAAGTATGATTTAAGAGTGAAGGCCAGCCCACATAGTGAAAATTTGGGCTGTTGAGTCAAGTTTAAATGGGCCCTCCAGTGATCCTTGTATCTTTTTAGAGATCCCTAGCTGTATTTCTCTGTAGCTTCCCCCACTCTTCTCCCTATGTAAGATACTCTTCTCAAGCTTCTGACCTCAACCATGTACATTTTTCTCACTCTAAATAAGAAAGTAGGATTCCTGCCATTACAGGCAAGACCTACCTTAACTTCCTGCCCAAGTGTGTATAAACACGTCTGCTTCTGTGGGCCTTCTTTTTCTTTCTGGTCATGTCTCTACAAGGATACCCCATCCCTTTTGTCCCTTGGGTTCCTGAAGATCTGTTCATGTTTTCAAAAATTTGTCCTGTTATTCAGATCAGATAATCCGTTGATGCATCTTCAAGCTTATTGACGTTTACATGAGGGATCTTCAAAAAGCTCATGAAAAATGTGTACTGGGAAAATACTATGCATGAATTGCAAAAAGTTTTTGCACTGAAATCTATACTTCTAAAGAGTCCATTTTTCTACATGTTTTTGGAAACCTTACTTATATAATCTTTGGTCTGCTATAAGCCCATACATTGAATTTATTTCTAATGTTCTATTTTTTCATCTTAGATTTTTTTATTTGGTCCTTTTATTAATAGTTCCTATTCTGTGCTGAGATTTCTCTTTCCATCTTTTCTCTTATTATGAGCATGTTTTACATTACCTCATTGAGCACAGTTATAAAACTGCTTTAAAATCTTTGTCTTGCTAATTTCAACATCTCTTTATTCCAGCATCAGTCTCTATGGATACCTTCTTCTGGTGTGTGGGACATGTTTTTCTGTTTTCTAATGCTGATTCATTGGAGAGATTTCTTGCCCATTGTGATGAGTATGTTTATAGTATCTCTGAATTCTGATAGGTTGTAGCAAATACTATGGTGTTTTTGTTTTAATTAGGTAAGTTATCACAACTCAACTCAACCTGCAAACTCTGTCTTTTCTTCAGTGAGTTATAATTTGAGGTCATTTTATTTAGGCTTCACCAGTGTATGGCTCAGGAGCCAACCAGAGATTTGGATAGACATTATAGACAGAATTTAGAGCCCCCTTTCTTTGGTTCTGTCTTTTTAGGGTTCTCCCTTCACTTTATTTTTTAAATTATTTTATTTTAAAATTATTTTATTATTAATATCGTTTTTATTTTTTTTTAACTAGGTATAGTCATCAGAGAGAGAGAGAGAGAAGGAAAGTGAGAAAGCAAGCCACCAAGTCTGGCACTTAAACCACAGTCAGCCTTGTGGGAGTCCAGTACCTTAACCACCATCCCATCTGCTAGCCCTTTCTCCTCACTTTAAAGCTGCTGTGCTTATCTATACTCTGTTCTCTGGTTCTTCATGGCATTAAGACACTAGGTTTCTAATCCAAGTTTTTTGCCCTGGTGGCATGAACTGGAGCTCACCTTCAGGCAAAAAGCCCCAAAGATGGGAAATGCAACTGGTCTGGTCCTATTTCCGTCTTTCAAATGTCAAACTCTCCTGTATCTGACTCTTCTCAGTTCCTTCCAGAGCCCTTGGATGATTTTTCTTTTTTTTTTTTTTTTTTTTTGGAGTATATATTCTGTAGGAGGATTGATCCAATTAGAGCTGTTTGGCTATTACTAGAAATGAAACTTAGAATTTATTCTTGGGACCAGCAGTTGGCATCATGGCTATGTCTCTGGACTCCCATGTAGTCAACCGCGGTTCAAGCCCCAGACCTGGTGGTGTAAAGTCACGCTGGACGCATGTGCATACGTGCCCAAGATCCCAAGAGGAGTACGGAGGAGAAGGGATTGTGGTGTGGCCATACCCTCTGGGGGGGTGATTTCTCACTTTCTGTCTCTCTCTGTCTTTCTGGCGAGTACACATGCCCTATAGCAAAAACCTCTCCAAAAAAAAAAGAATTTATTCTTAATTATTCATTGTGTGCCTACTTGAACCTACTTGAATCTTTTCTTCTTTTGACACAGTGGTATTTTTTGTTCATGCAAAGAAGTATCAGTGTACACTTGTGCAGCATGCTAAAGAGCTTGTTTACATGAAAGCACTTCTGTATACACCAGGAGTCACCAGTGAATGTTACAGTTAGTTTAGGACACACCTCAAAGTATTGCCCTTCCTCGAGCCTGTCCCACTTCTCAGCAACAAATTCAGACTTTTTATGGACTGTCTAATTTCTGTGCTTTTGTTGGTAAGTAGGTATCAATGGCTAAAAGATCCAAGAACCCCCTATGGCTGTTTACTCTGTTTCTCCAGTACACGTGTTGTGCTTGTTCACCTTGTATCAACACTAAGGTATGTGTTGGGCGTGCAGAGATGACTGCGATGAGGTTTCTGTGCTCAGTCACTCACAGTGTAGTAGAGGAGACGGGCAGACCAGCAGAGCAGGTACAGCTCCATGTGAGGAGTGCTGTGTTTCAGAGGTGGTAGGAGTATTTCAGAGGGCACCTAACTCAGGCTTTACAGATAAAGGACCTGCTGCATAGCCCACATTTAGGATTAGCTTAAAATTAATTGGAATTTTATTCATATTATGACCCTTGAGGATGACTTTTCCTTGTATGAAAATGTAGGGCCTCAGTGTTTTATTTTTAAAATGAGAGGATTGGATTATTTCTATGACATTCGTTTCAGTGCAAACATAATTCAGTTTCAAGCACATTGAAAAGAAGAGGTACTCAAAAACCTACTGTAGAGTATTTCAGATATTTAAGGTCATGTTTAATTGGTTAGTAGGAAGTGTAACTTGTTAATTCTTCCCATCCTAATATTCTGGTATTTACTGACTATATATACCTTCAGTATACCACATCTAAAGGAGAGCCTTGTATGTCCAGTTTACATTTAAAGGCAGTGTGTGTTTGGAACTTCTGGCCCCATTCCTTTCTTTTCTATTCTCTCCTTTTTGGGAGCCAGAGCTGTCAAAAGTTACCCCGTATCTTGTGTATCCTTCATAAAATTCTAGCTGGATTCCAGTGTTTAGTTCATTAGCGCAGTACCTAGGCATAGGAGCTCCCAATAAGTACAGCTTCTCTTCCCCTGTAGTCTCCTCGTTTATCACAGAAACTCCCCTCTACCCCACTGCATTTCACACTGAACTTCCACCTCTTCCTCCTTAGCTTTTAAAACCCTTTACCTTTCTTGGATCAGCCTAGTGGTGCAGCAGTTAAATACTATGGGGGGGTGGGGGTGGGGATCCCACAAGGCCGACCAAGGTACCAGTATCAGGCCCAGCAACTTGAAAAATATGCTGGGCACATGTGTGCATTCCCAGGAGGAAAAAAGGAAAGGGGAGTGCTGCATGACCAAACCCAGCAGGGGGTACTTTCCCCCTTTCTCTCCCTCTCACGCCCACATGCACTCTGGTATAAAACAAAACAAAAATCCTACCTTTCTTCCTCACCAGAATCTCATCTCTCAGTGCAGCTGCTCTGCATCACAGAGCCCTCTGTGGGGCCTGGCCTGGTGGTTGATAAGGAGTGGTTGTGACTGCCTTGGATAGAGCTTAGGTAGAAAGAGAGAGGTTCTTGGTCATCACCATGGAAACGAAATATGAAATTCTATATAAAGATAATTTATAAGTACTCATTGGGAGCTTATATTACTAATACTGCATTTTCCCCCCACCTTTTAAGTTTAATACCTGAATGTTACTGCCTGGGATCCTTCCCACATTCTGTGCCTTTGTTTTTTGTTTTTGTTTTTTCCTAGTAAAACAAGCTAAAACTTTTTTCCACTTTACATTGCAGGCTTTTGTAACAATACTGGCTTATAAGTTAGAAATTGTATCACTTATGTATCACTTGTGTACCATTTCTCCCCAGTCTACATAGACATTCAACTTCTGCTCAACTCCCTGCACCTTTCTAATCAGAAACAGTGATTAGTGGCTGCCCCACTGCTGCTGCTGACAGAGTGTGAAACTGGCTGCAGGAAGGAGAAAGATTATTTCACCAGGTTCTTGGTGGACTTCTGAGCGTTCTAATACATGTGGCCTGTCCGTCAACACTCTCAGAGAAGTCGAGTGTTTCTACTGCCCTCCCCTGCCTTTCAAGAAGGTGTCCTGTGTTTTTGTTTGTTTGTTTGTTTGAGAGAGATTTTTGTTGTAGGGCACGTGTGTTCACCAGAGATAGAGGGATGGACTGAAAGCAAGAAATTACCCCCCAGGGGGAATGGCCACACCGCAATCCCTTCTCTATTCTTACCTTTCCAGATCTTGGGCACTCCTGCACACACGCCCAGTGTGAGTTTAGGCTGCTGGGTCCAGACCTTGAACCACAGTTGACCACATGGGAGTCCAGTGACGTAACCATTACACCATCTGCTAGTCCTCCCTTTATTTTAATTAACACTATTTTAGTAGCAATTGTTAAAATGCAATTTTCAGCACATGATTATAGCGTATTATGATTAAATCAGGGTGATTAGTATTGCCAGCATCTCAGTCATTTGCAACATTATGTACTGTAAGTTGTTGTTAACAATATTCTCCCTACTGCATTTTATAACACTAGACACTGTTGTAACTGCAGATAGTTTCCATTACATTCATTTTTAAGAGCCCTTTCACCTTTTTAAGTGAATCCTCTCCAAGTATATCTGAGGTCTTCAAATAACATGGTGTATCTTTGGATATTTGTGAATAGCTTCACCTCTCTGCAGGTCTATAGTCAATGAAAGGAGTGCTTGTGAAGTTCTTTTTACATGAGCAGATGTTACCAAGGAAAAGTATTACTTCACTTTTCTGGAGGTTACCTTTTAAAACAATGTGAATCACTCATATCAGGTGTTTAACAACGCCTTCAAAATTTTTCCAGAGAAAGCAAATGTATCAGTTAAACATTTAATATTTGTTATAGCTAAAATACCTGTATTTTGACAGATCTAATTTATGATACAATAGTTGTAGTATTAATGTGGTGTCCCTTGGAGCATTTTTTATAAGATCAAGGTCAGTGATATGAACTTCAGTTGCTATTGTTTGGTTTTTCAAAAATTAAATATAGTTATTTGAGATTCTAGATTTATGTCAAGGATTCATTATTATGGCCTGGCTTAGTATATAATGTAATTAAGTAATGTATGCCGTATGTCTATTAGTTTTGTTTAAAATAAATCTCTTTCAGTACTCTTGCTTTTTCAGTGCATGTATATATACACAAAGCATGAAGCTGGTTTTTCAGGAGATATTGAGATTAGATAACCTAGAATCCCCATCTAAGCTTAGAGATGCTCATTGATTTTGCAGAGTTGGAAATTCAGTACCAGGGTTGACTCTCTTAGCCTGCTGGTTGAGTCAGCTGGATGCCATTTGGCTGAACCAGTTTGAATCCTGGTCCTGGTGGCTTGAAAAAAAGGCTAGACGTGTGTAGATGCATGCACAGAGATCCCAACAGGGTAGAGAAATGGAGGAGAAGGAATTGTGTCATGACCATGCCCCATTGGGGATGTTTTCTCCCTCTCCTCGTTTCTGTCTCCCCATCTCTGGAGAGCACATGTGCCCTCTGGCAAATGAAACAAAAAATTATAGCACCAGCTAACTATAAATGGTGAACCTAAGCGTCCAAAAGTATTGGCAGTTTTTACTGCAAATACGTGTTTCTTAGCATTTTGATCTGTGTATGCCAACATGGAGTGGTGGAGATAACCATGTTTTTTAGGTGATTACGGTACCATAATCACTGTCTCTGTCAGCTTTCCCAGAAAGTTTCAAGTCTTCCATATTTCTTAAGCATCTAGAACTGAAATGCTAGAAAGAATCTAGATTCCTGATAGTAGAGAGAGCTTCACTGCTCAAGACGTTCTAGAGAGACTGGCCTTCAAGATGCTTTGGTGTTCATATACCCATGCTGTCATTCTAGCCATCTCAGAAATATTGAATGTGACTTATTCTAACAAGTTTAAGAGAATTCTTTCTCTTCTTTAATTTAATATTGTAAAGAAACACATACTCACTTTTGGAAGGATAGTAAATGATACAGTAATTTGGTAACATTTAAAAATTGGTAGAGGATCAATGTGGAAAGGATTTAGGGAGCCGCAACTTGCTGCAACTATGTGACTCGGGGTTGTACAAGTAAACCCAACTCAAAACAGTGAATTTGCTGCATTGGTTGACTCTTCCTTTCATGAGAGATTTCTTTGTACCATGCAGTGCTGTTCTATAGCTTTTTAGCCAGTTGAACTTCTGTCAACGTGGGAGTCAGTTCTCTTGAACTCTGCCACTGATTCATCAAATAAGTTTACGTATACATAATGTAATAAACCCTCTGTTGTTATTTCAACAGCACAGCATTTTCTACAGGAGTAGATTCCATCTCCAGAAGTCACTTTTTTTGATCAATCGTTCAGAAGCAACTCCTCATCTGTTAAAATTGTAATCATCAGAGTATAACATTTTGGTCACATCTTCAGGCTCCACTTCTAATTCTAGTTCTCTTGCTGTTTCCATCACATCTGCAGTTACTTCCTCCCTTGAAGTCTTGAATCCTTCAAAGTCATCTATAAAGGTTGAAATCAGCTTCTTCCAAACTTTGTTAATGTTAACTTTTTAAGAATTATTTTATTTAACTTTATTTTAATTTGATGAGAGAGAGAGAGAAAGTGAGAAAGCAAGCCGCCAGGTCTGGGACTCGAACCACAGTCAGCCATGTAGGAGTCCAGTACCCTTAACTACCACAACACCTGCTGGCCCCTAATGTTAATATTTTGACCTCCCTTGATCAAGAATGTTCTTAATGACATGTTGAATGGTAAATCCTTTTCAGTAGGTTTTCTTTTTTTTTTTTTTTTAGAGGTTTTTTTTTTTTTTTTTTTTATTTTTTGCTATAGTGCGTGCGCTCGCCAGACAGACAGAGAGAGACACAGAGATAGACAGCAAGAAATCACCCCCCAGAGGGGATGGCCATGCCGCAATCCCTTCTCTTCCATTCTCTTCTCAGGATCTTGGGCACGCATGCACACGCGCCCGGTGTGAGTCTCAAGCCACCGGGTCCGGGATGCAAACCGCAGTCAACTACGTGGGAGTTCAGCGACATAGCCATTACGCTAACTGCTGGTCCCAGTAGGTTTTCAATTTACTTTGCCCAGACCCATCACAAGAATTACTATCTGTGGCAGATGTAGCCTTACAGAATGTGTTTCTTAAGTAATTAGATCTGAGGGCCAGCAGGTGGAATGGATGTTAAGCTGCTGGACCCTACATAGTCAGCCATGCAGTTTGAGTCCCAAACTCAGTGGCCTGAAAGTCACGCTGGCACTTATGCACCCAAAAATCTCAAGAGAAGACTGGAGGAGAAGGGATTGAAGTGTGGCCAACCACCCCACCCCCAGAAGGTGGGGCAATTTCTTTTTCTTTCTTTCTCTCTCTTGCAGGTGCATTTGCCCCATAGCAAAAACAAAAGCAATTTAAAATATAAAAATAATAAGAATTGAAAGTATAAATGATTCCTTTCTCCATGGGCTGCAGAATGAATATTATGTTATTAAGTGTGAAAACAATGTTAATATTCATAGACGTGTTCATCAGAGCTGGTGGGTGACCAGGTGCGTTGACAAGGAGCAGTAATATTTTGAAAGAGATTTTTTCCTGAGCAGTAGGTCCTGACAGTGGGCTTAGAATATTCAGTAAACCATGCTGTAAACAGATGTGCTGTCATCGAGTCCTTGGTGCTCCGTTTATAGAACACAGGAAGAGTAGATTTAGCATCATTCTTAAGGGCTCTAGGATTTTCAGAATAATAAATGAGCATTGGCTTCAAATTAAAGTCACCAGCTGCATTAGCCCTTACGAGAGAGTCAGACTGTCCTTTGAAGCTTTGAAGACAAGCATTGAGTTCTCCTCTCCAGCTGTGTCACTCTTATATGGAATTTTCTTCCCATAGAAGGCTGTTTTGTCTACATTGAAAAATCTGTTTGATGTATTCATCTTCATCATTATCTTAGCTGCATCATCTGCATAACTTGTAGTGTCTACATCAGCACTTGATGTTTACCTTATGCTTTATTATTGTTAGTAGTAGTATTTACCTTACACTTTTTAAATCTCATGCACTAGCCTCTGCTGGCTTCAAACTTTTTCTTCAGATTCCTCACCTCTCAGCCTTCATAGAACTGAAGAGAATTAAAGCCTTGCTCTGAATTAGGCTTTGATTTAAGAGGATGCTTGGGCTGGTTTGGTCTTCTAGTCTGACCACTAAAACTTGTTTCCATATCAGTGATAAGACTGTTCTGCTTTCTTATCGTTCATGTGTCCACTAGAGTAGCTCTTTTCATTTTCTTCAAGAACTTTTCCTTTTTGTTCATAACTTGGCTAATTGGCACAGCAGACCTAGCTACCAGCCTGTGTTAACTTTGACATGTCTTTCTTTTCTTTTTTATTTTTAAAGAGAGATTTTTTTTTCTATATAGTATGTGTGCTCTTCGAAGACACAGAGAGATAGAAAACAAGAAGTCACTGCCAGGGGGGATGCCTGCGCCGTAATTCCTTCTCTGTTCTCCTCTT